GTTTCAGGGTGATTAGAGTATAAATGCTTTTAAAACCGAGGGCCCGTAACACCATGAGAAAGACCTGATCAGCGTTGTTTTATTTCACTCACGAGTGGACAAGAAGAACATTGGTGGACATTGTTTTTTTTTTTAACTTTCCGTAACACAAGAAGTGTTCTAACAATTTTAAGAGGCATAGAATCGAATTAAAATAAGAAAGCACCACTTTGTGCTTTGTGAATCAGTTTCGTAATTCTTTTTTATATTAGCTTTTTTCTATAGAACCTCTAATGGGATGTTTTCTTGAAGCTATGTAATGCGTTTCTCTGTGCCCTTGGTATATAATGGTCTTATCTTTGTTTGATAGCCCATCTGTAGGTATAGACAGGAAATTATAGTAAGACGACACTCATCTTTAGTGTGAGTTGAAACCTGGATCACGTCAAAAAAATCATTAAACACATGATCTAAGGATAGAAATCTCCAACTTGAGCAAGAAATCTCCTGTGAGTAAGGGATAATTTTATTTGTGAATTTGTGGATACTTTTGTTTTTTAATGATGTCGCCAGCCCAGAGAAAAAAAAAAAGACTAGAAAGCAGCCGGAAATGAAGAAATATAAGAAAACATAAGTATATCACACTCTATGACTCTATGATACATCCACTGTTCGGCCACTGCTGTGCAGTTTGGGATAGCTGCGGAAAAACAGATCGGGACTATCTGGACAGGCTGCATCTACGAGTAGCTCGTATCATTGAAGGGCGTAAATAGAAAATACTGACAGACAGCACTTTTAGCCGACCCTCATCAGAAAATTGCAGGAAATTTCACACATGCTGACAGGTGTTTAAATGCCTACACGGTCTTGCGCTCGCCTATCTTTTGAATGAATTTAGTTTATCCCGCCAATATCATGCCTACAATACCAGATAAAGGACCCTTCGGGCTTACCCCCGGATAAAGCATCTAAATATCAAGGATCCTTTTACTACAAAGGTGCAAAGGCGTGGAATACTCTTACTTATTAACCACGAAACATAACTTCACTGCCTAATTTTAAGAAATTTCTTAAACTTCATTTATGTAATTGATGTAATATACTTTGTAATGTAATATACATTGAATATCTTGTGTGTAAATTGTAATTTGTCTTGTAAGCTCCTTTTGTGTTCTGTATTCCTTAATAAATTTTGTTTTACTTTGTATGTCCTAAGCAAGCCCCCATTCAAACCAGCTTGAAGCTGAACTGGGCCAGTTTACGTAAATATCGCTGATAAATAAATAAATAAATAAATTGGCCTTTAGTGATCTAATCAAAAGCTTCCATTTTTTTTCCACATTTACGGCAATCATATATCTTCCAGGGTGGCATTATTTAGAAAGCACATTTTGATGAGCAACCGGTACGATTATTTTTACATAAAATCGTTTGACATGCACTTTTCACCTTCAGTAGGACAACTTTTGATTTATGTGCCTTATTTAATAATATCTTAAATTGAAAGAAAGTAAAAAGATAGAGAGATGTATTGACGATGATTACCATCAATTGATGTCATTCCTAAACATTGAATGATCAATCTTTGGTCTGTATTTTAAGGCAGAACTGAAAGTCTGATCATTTCTCTGGGAAGGTAACGACCACGGCTGTTTGGAAAAGTAACTGGAAATTTGCTATACTTTGGAAGATGGTTCTGCAAAAATGAATCCAAGAAAGACAGCACTATGAATTCCGTTGCTCGTCGGTGTCTGTGTTTTCTTTTCCTTTTTCTTTTCCTTTCGGGACTCAGGCTCTTAAGGTCTAAATTTTGTTAGTTATATGAAGGCTCGTACGGTAAGTATAATTATGGAGATGTTGCCCTGAAGGTCATAATTTCATGAAAAGCTTTTCTTGAGTATATTGCCTTTTGATTGTAACTATGTTCCTCATTCTTTTCACTTGAAATGTTGCAATTTCCTGGCTATGGGTATGACGCATTTGAAAATGGTGTATGCTTAAAAGTTAGTGGTTTAGAATATGCGAAAATTTCACCTCTCCTACGGAACCATATTTGATTTTGAGAGAGTGGACGCGTCGTTGTTTGCATTGCCTTTTGTATGAGGGAAGTATTAGTCTAATTTCCGGGCAAAGCGTTCATGCTCTGATTTTCCTCGGATGAAAAGATAGTAAAAATGGGCACTTGAGCCGGTGATGGGATTGATCTGTATATCGTGGGAAATTTCGGAATCAGTTGTCATGACGTATACTGCAAGTATAGCTGCTTCTACCAATAACTCGTGCTAGGGCTTGGCCACCTACAGTTCTTTTGCTTCCTTTCCTGTAGTGTACTCAGGTAATGTTTTAACCTTTGTTTATAAGTGCTCGCTCGGTGTCACATAATCGTCAATCTTGTTGCTGATTAGAAACGTTCTTAAGAGAGGATACGGACACTTGACACCGTAAATAGGCGCAAATTTCCACTTTTGTGCTGGACAATATCAACTGCTCTGGAACTTGAAAACCAGCAACAATTTCGCTCCAAAAAAGGCTTTCGGTTCTTTTGCTCTACTGTATGCTTTCCGAACTATAGACACCTGTTCGGAACCCGTCCCAGCAACTGAAAACACTCTGGCAGTTGCGTTACGTTTACTTAAAACTTACCTGCGCAGAGAACTACGTACAACCATGCATATTCTCTCGAAAATTTGACAACGATTTAGTCTTTTCAGTTTCTATGATTTTTTCAGCTTCAGGCGTAAATGGGCTCTTTTCAATATTATTAATTGCCTCGATTGAATGAAATTCACAAAGATTAAATACCTCTTACTAACCGCGTTCGAGCTTCATACTATAAGCTACGGACCAAGCTTTTTCCGCTCGGATTTACGGCCCAAGCCCAGGCCATACACCCGAGCGGGAAAAAACGAGGTTCCGTAACTCACAGTGCTGTTCAAGACCACGAGGTTATTACGATATCCTCCATATCTCTGGGCTCAAATTAACTCTTCAACTTCCGTGAGTGACCAAGACAGAATTTCTCCTTACTTTATTAATGCAATATCATGTAGACAAGTGATGAGAATTAAGAAAAATATCAATTACGAGATTACTACTGTTACTACTTACTGTTTGGCAGACAGTAAGGAGAATTATTAATGAGATCTTGGGAGTTGAAGGGTTAGGGGGGAAGATTTCAATTGAAAAAAGGGTTTAAACTTACCGGGCTGTACAGTGAAGTAGGTCGTGATCGATTGAAAAATAATAGCACACAAAATAACTGAGAGATAGAAATAGATGAATATTATTATCCAACTGCACACAGTAGAGTACAAATAACGCGCGAGAAAAGCACGAATGTCCTGCGATATTGTACGGTTATTTGGACAGTTGTTTATTTTGTACTGTTAAAAAAAAAACTTGTTTAACCAGTCGGCTGCGCGCGCTACGCTTCTCCATCCGCTTTGCTTTTCCCGCCTCATGAGAAATGAGCAGAAAGACTTAGCGGAAAAAAAGCAGTTGGATAATAAATAACTTACTAGACGTTTGGTGTGTAGTATCGTTGAGTATTTTTACTCGTCTTTTGTATTTTGACTAGCCCTACGGGGTCGTCAAAATACGGCACACTTCGTAAAAATACTTGGTGATACTACACACCAAACCGTCTAATAAGATATATTTATTGAAACCGTTGCTCGTGATAACTCCAGACACGCTTTCCAACGAATTTAATTTATTTTATGAGCCAATACTAATACTGCTGTCTGTCAATGATTTGCAATGTCCTGGTTTCGTAAGGAGGGAAAGAAAAAACAAATATTTTTGCGAATTTTTAAGAGGCAATGATCGGGTCTGAGGCTTGGCTTGAAATAACTTAGTGAATTCCCACTGTTGGCCCAGCCAAATAAATAAATTAAACTTCCTGTTTCTACAAGTTTATCACCGAGCGACAAGTTCTTATTATAACTCCTGTCTACTCTTTGCGTGGTTCGAAAAGGTCTGTGTGGTCCTGATAAGGGAAAATTCACGTAACATTGCAAATTCAGAATTATTCCATGGACGAAACTCTTTCCACGGCCGAGAAATTAGTGGAACCGATCATTTACTAGCTCAGAGGATTTGTAAATATAGACAAGGAGTGTTACCAGTGATAAGTTTTATTCATGTGGCGCTATAAGATGGCACATTACAAATATTTGTTTAAAATAATAAAACTAGCAATTAAACATAATTACAAAAAGAAAAATGACATAAAAACTAAGGTTCCGTTTATAATGATTTACAATCTCTTAAAAAAAAAATAAGAAAAAATAAGAAAAGCTGCCCACGAGATATTCCCAGAGGCCCCGTTTTGCCAGTGAAGCTTTGTGCAGAGAGCGAAAGACAAGTGGCAGTTTTATATAATTACATTAAGTGTATAATCATCGTCGATCTCTAGAAAGGAGCTCGGCTGATTTACTGTTGAGAGATTTCAGTAATCCTGAGTACAGCCGGCGATCTTGAACCTTATCAATGTATCAGCTTTGAGTTGAATCATTCAGCAACGTAAAAATTATCAAGAAAACCCTTAAAAAATCGATAATGGGCCAATGAAGCCTATTGGAATAGGACCGCTAAACTGAGATTCCATTTCTTTTTTTTTTTTTAAGGCTCTAAAACATACTTTGCTGATTTTTATCTCGCAAAAGGAACCTGACGAGGCCGCCGAAGGCAGCCCCTGCACTCTCTATATCATAAATGTTATCAAGTATACCAATTAGCCACCACTCTGTGAAACGAGGGCTCTTCTGCAGCAAAACAAGAGTTGAGAGCATTATTCGAATCTATCATGGCTTCATGTCATCCACAGTTGGTCCCTATTTATTTGGGTTTATTGGGGATAGAAAAACAATTGGCTTTGTGATGCTACCAACAAGGTAACAGCATTGATGAACTAAAAATTGAGTCAAATGTTCGAGGAAAACTGTAAACGATTTGTCAGAGTCCACTCTTTGGGCAATTTGTCAAAACTCTATCGAGAATTTAACCCTGTAGTTTTCTTAACCTTCAAGATTGGAGGTCGTATTAGATGGTGGACTAATCTCAACCTGAAGAAACAGTGTGTCATTCACAATGTAGCGCCGTGAATGAAGTTTCAAATGGGATATAAAATTATGAATACCCCATCCCATGTTTTCTTCTGTCTCAGGCCTTGCAAAGCTTGGAATATTTTCCGTGGAGAACACACGGGTCACGTTTTCCCGTTGGTCTGGATCACCCTGTTGATCAATCAATGTGAACTTCACTGTCTTAATGAGGGGCCAGCGTAAAATTGCGTCATATTCACCTTTCATTACAACCACGATCACCGAGAGGTGAGTTTTTTTGTAATCTCCAAGTCCATTAGGGTAAATACAAACTCTTAACTTGAAGCCATAACTTTCTGTCTCAGTTTTGGTGTAGAATGGATCACTTTGTATTCTCTCTTTTCGTCCGTTTTTGGCTTCTTTCAAAAACTCGCTAAAACTGTCAATCCGCCAAGGAAACACGTTGTTATGTTTTATGCTCGACAACTTTAACAGTTCCATTGCATTTTCCAACTCAACTCTTGTCTCATTTAACAAAGCTTCTGTGTTATTTGATTTATCTTCTGTCTTCTTCAACTTATCTTTTGTGTTATTCAGCTCATTCTCTGTTTTCTTTAATTTGATGCAAACTAAATCAAGATGGATTCTTGTTGCTGATTGAAGATGATAATCCATTTCTTGACGTTGGACCTACATGAAAATTTATACTTCATTTGCCAGAAATACTACAGACCATGATCTAAGCCCTTAACTTAAACAGCTAATTTATTTCAAAGTTCTTTTCGATAACGGTATCACGTGGTCATTTTACATTTCCTCGAACGTTCAAGTAGACAGGTCATTTATTACATGGCTGCTTCCATAGACGGGTAAGATTAAGTTAATACTGTAAAGAGATTGTCTATTAGCGGCAGATATTGGTCTATTTACCTTACCAGCTTCATTTCGTAACTGCTAGGAACATTTTGTATAACAAAAAAACTAGCCTCCAGAAGTCTTCTCGACAATTTGAAATACGAATCAAACCACGATGGAATATAAGGTCATAAGGTAAATGATACGTTTCTCTGGGCCTGTTAAACGAATTTCTCACCTTTGTATCACAACCCATTCCTGCATATGGACAGAAAATTATGGTCAGCGGACAATCATCTTTGGTGTGAGTCGAAACCTGCATCACATGAAATAAAGGACTTGAATAAAAAGGAATGGCACGTACCAAAATCTGCTAGTGGAAAAGATCACTTAAGGGGTAATAGGAATAAACATGGTCGTGACGTTTAGTTCTACGGCCTTTTCTCTGATATTAGCCTGCAGAGCGGGCGTAATTTTGGTGAGTGGGTGCTCAAAATTTCCTTAACGAAAATTATGGCCGCCATCTTTGATTTCAATGGCTGCGGAAGGCTAGGGAGAGAAAGAAATTTGTACCAAGGGGGCGGTCGACAGTCTAAAATAAGGAGAGGAGTGGGGGTGGGGGAGTGAAGATAACGCCTGCCCAAAGTCATTGTTATTTTGCAAAACTCCGTTCGCCCACGAATGGAGTTCCTGTTTGATGTGGTTAAGCTCTAGCTGTCAATCACAAGCCAAATGTTACATTTGAGCGCCATTCTGACATTTCTCTCTTATGGGAAAAGAGAAAGATGACGAACTATGATCGTAAAGTTATTAGTTTCGATTCCGCTCGCGAGGAAGCAATTAAGTGTCTTCCGGAATTTAGTATTTTAGGTGTTGTTTCTTATGAAATAAATTATGACGGAAAACCTTCCAGCGCAGTTGTCGTTTTTCCGCTTTGACCTACTGTTTATGATCAAATGGAATAAGCATCTTCGATCGGAGTAACGGTAACCACGCTCACGGATTGTCATTTAGAGGATATAGAGTGCGGCAAAAATTAACTCGTATTTGCGTCAGCAGAGATTGTTTTGGTGAAGTCATTTTTTTCATTGATGAAAAAACAGCCACACTGTTTTATCAGAGTATGCCGGTTTGCATCAACTAACAGAGGGTAAACCTTCAAGTGCAGTTGTTTGTTGCTTCAAAGTATCGTTTACGACCAAATGGAAGAAAAAGAAAATTTATCAAATAGATTGATGGCAGCTATACTCAAGGATTCTCGTTTGAAAAATATAGAGTGCAGAAAATATCAGCTCATATTTGTGACCGCGGAGGAGGTTTTGTCCAAGCCATTTCTCTTCTGGCTTAAAAAAAAAACTGCCTCACCATTTCACTAAGCGGCTTTACGTTTGTTTGTTTGTGTTGGAAGACAGTGCTTCCGGCTTTTAATTGAACACATTTTGATTGGTGACCTACTCATTTTCGGAAATGCAGTGACGCGCAACTAATCAGGGGGTATTTGCTTTTCAACAACCTCTTCGGGCAAGCGTGTTCTCGCCCTTCCCCCGCCCCCCATCCGCACCGTCCATTTTAACTCCAAATCAAACATGGCCGGTGGGATCACAGGCGGCCCAAGCTCCAGCTGTGAGATGATCATCTTACGCAATAACGGTCATGGCGGAATTATAAGAGTTTGTATGGGAATATTTACGACCGCTCTAAGGAATAAAAAAATACGTCAAATTCTCAAAAAAAAATACCTCACCTTACTTCTCGATCGATTTCGACCTGAGGGGACCCGTGGTTCTAAAACAATTTATTGATAATAACTGACGGTGTGGTCCCCGGCGAGGCTCAGTTTGAAAAGGAGTTAGGGTCACCAAGCTGGTTTTCAACGGTCGTGTGTCAAGGTTGATGTGGTCGCGGGCTGTTAGAAACCTCTAAACTGGAAATTTTTGAAGCAAATTGCCGCTTAGCGTCGGTTGCACGGGGAAGATTGAGTTTGTAGTAAATTGAAATGAAACTACAGTATATTTGCTTGGATTCTACGTTGGATTTGTGGCCGCCCGGTCATTTTGAGCTTGGATTTTTCGCTTCTCGGCTCAGGCGTTCGGAAATGGAGTGTTCAGCCTTGGGCTTTACTTATGTACGTTGAAAACCTCGAAATGAACAACTCGCTCAAATGGGCTCTTTTCATCAAAGTAAGCGGTCAGATAACAAGCAATACGCTGTGGAAGTAAGGTGAGGAATTTTTTTTTGAGAATTTGACGTATTTTTTTTATTCCTTAGAGCGGTCGTAAATATTCCCATACAAACTCTTATAATTCCGCCACGACCGTTATTACGTAAGATGATCATTTCACAGCTGGAGCTTGGGCCGCCTGTGGTGGGATAAACGATCGCAAGCCTATAACGTTAGCTCGCACTAACTAGACGCCTGCACTGCAGGCTACTCTGACAACTGCAGATGCCACTTTTCGCTTATCGGGCTTCTACGAGCGGAAATCGAATCTAATGAATGGAACTCTAGCACTGTATGGAATCCTTCGTATGAAGTCAAGTGATTGTGGTTTGCTATTTTTCAGAGAGAATGAGATGTAACGGGAAACTAACATGAGAGGCTTTAAATAAAGCAAAAAGGGGACTGTTTGGCATTTGTCTCTCGTTAACATCGTGTGCCTGTGATTATGAAACTAATTAAAGAAAATTTTGATCAGATCAAGCATCAGTAAGAGCCATTTGTCAGAAATTTGTTAGCTTTGAGGCATCCGCCTTTATTTCCGTCGGAAAAGTTTTTACGATTCATAATTTTGTATACTTTACATTTTCTTGTCTTAAAGTGAAAGGATGTAAATTGATGTTTGAAGGATAAATATCATGTATTAAAACTGCATTTAGTCGCGAAAGATCACAGATAAAGCTGAAAGTCTCACCATATCCCTTGGAATTGAACGACCACAGATGTTTGGACAAGTTACTGGGAACTTGCTGCACTGTCTAATATGCACCTACCAAAAGAAAAACAAAAAAAAAAACAAACAAAAAAATTAAAGAAACACAGGAATGTGGGAATTCGATTTCGCTGTGTTTCCTTTTTTTCAATCAATTTCCGTCAGGAATCAGGTTCTAAAAGAGAATCTCAATGGGGTCAACTGTCAGCCGTACAACGGCCAAAAATATCGACAAATTACAAACCGTTAGTAGTAAAAAATTAACTGTTCATTTTTTCTGGTGAACGCAATGGAAGGACATTAACAATTAGCCGTAAAGTGGGCAAACTTATAACCAATAGCCTTAAAAGCAATAACCCCATTTAGACCTTTTTTTAAAGATCGAAAGTATATTTTTTTATCTATTTACTCTAATTCCTATTCGATTTTAAGGGTCAATTTTTTCCACAGAAACATAAAAAGATTTCCTGGTAAGAGGTGTATTATTTTTCTTGGATCCCTCCACTATTAAAATCCTTACTTGCATCATGCAGTCTGGGTGGGGCTCCGTGCAGTATGTACATTGAAGGATTCTCCATGGACACACATTATTTTCGTGCTGCGTAAGATGTCTTCTTTGAACTTTTTCGTGACAGTTCTTGTTGGCACACGCTACTTGCTGAAAAAGGCAAGATTCCAAGTGGATCTGTTCAACAAATAAAACCAAAACAACTTCAGTTTGGGCGTTGGTTCCTAACTCTCCCTGAGAAGTTAAAAATGATCAAGCCCATCATCTCTATGTCTTGGCTTCTACATGTAGGAACTTGAGCAATGTCTGTGGCTTTGTTATTTCAACAGACGAAAACAATGACTCATGCTGATAAAGTTGTTTATTAACACTTATCGAAATATGCCTTAGTTTTACCTTCTTGATCCTCAGCTCCCCAGTCCATTCACAGCCACCATTTGGACATTTGATCACTAAAGAGAAAATCTTCCTTTCTGTTGCCTTATCAGGGAAAATGTCCTAAGAAAAAATCACAGTAGTATCATTCCTACGTCGTCCTAAGGTGGTAATTGACTTGAGCATAAGTGCTTTCTCTTTATAAGAGCCTTAATTGGGGAGTATTTGATTAAAGAATAGCAATTTTTTAAGAAAATACAAATAATTGAAGTATATTTCGAGAACGAAAAACAATGGACTAAAAAAAAAAACATTGTTTAAAATATTTAATTGAAAAGTAAAACATGTGTTTGAGGAAGAATCTAACAAGTCTTGGTAAAGACTTAATAAAAATAGCGCTAAATAATTGCGTCGGTCTTCACTTGAACTCAGCCAAGCAAATCATTTTTAAATTTTCCCTAGTTCAAAAGTTTACTAACCCGTTCTGGGTCCAGATTCTCCATGTCCGCCGGGCAAGTTACAGACTTTCCTTTAATTTGCTGTCTGTAAGAAAATTAAATTATCGAGAATGGTAGGTAAGTAAGTAAGGAAGCAACCCAGAAAGCAAGAAAACATGTACTGCATTTATCATCATACCCCGTCTCAACCAACACTTTTATATAATTCAATACAGTCAACGTCACTCAACATTGACAACAACAGTTGCTAAATCAATTTCCACAATAGCATACGGAAACTACAATATTGAAGAAAGACTATTGAGGTGGATAAGCCCTTGTTAGGATTTTTTCAAGCGAGTTTATTTCATTGCATTGACACAATCTACAAGGTACCTAAGATAAGTTTATATATTCATGTAATTTAGTGACGGAACAATTAAGCTGCGGATGACGAATGAGGCGAACTAAAACTTTGAATGGCGCGATAGGTCTTGTAGTATCAAAGCACTTATAAGCACAAAGTAATAAATGTGGAGAAAAGATTTGAACTTTGAACAGCAATCACGCTTGCAGTAGACAATTGAACTACCGATTTTCGCTTTCGATTCTAAGACATCTTGCTCTTTGGACAAGTGAATATGAAATCCGTTCATTACCTTTGATAATTGAGAGAATTTATCGTGCTACGTTTTAGAGGAAGATAGGCGCGTATTTTAATTGAAACTAATCGAAGGCAACGCTAGAAATTGAAAAATTGCCTCACCAAGTTAATTAGTGTAGTGGTTACTGATCCGTGAAATCGATGTTTAAAGAGCATGCAAACCCAAAAATACATGTTTTTCTTATACTATGTAAAAAGTGGCGTAGAAAACGAATTTTAAATTCGTTTTGTCCAATTCGACTTATTTTAGGAGAAAATCGGCATTTTCAACTGAAATTCCATTTCCGGTAAAAACAATAGCGAGAAGTCGTGACGTAAGCGGTGGAACTAAAATATTGCGCAACACATATTCCCCAGTAGAACTGGTGTGGGAGTTCGTGTAAGTAGCGGTAGTTTGGAAGATGTTTTTTCAGAAGATAGCGACTCGAATGCCTTAAGCTTAGTACATGAAAGCGATGGGGATAATCCAGAATCTTCAGGGGAGTCTTGGCCACGTCCTTAACAATATGAGCCGCGTAGGGTTCACCGAAGCGATTCGCACGAAGATAGTACAGAACATGTCGACAGCGATGCGACCGTCTCGGAAACTCAGACTGGTATTTAATTTACTGTGTGATTTATTTGTATTTGACACAAATATCCAATAAAGCGAGGGTGCAATCTAAAAGAATGCAACATAAATTTTTTAAACTTGAGCTTCTGAGAGTGTTTTATATAAAATTATCAAAGGTGCGAGTGTGGAACTTGTCAACCAATGCCGACAACTCATGAAAGTGGAAAAATCGGGCATTTGTGGCAAAAAGTAGAGTAGCAAGGGCCTGAAACCCAGATAAGTTGTATTACTGAGCATCCAGGTTTTCAGTCAATTTGCCTTGATTTCTGGGTGCTGGAGACGGCCAATTACGCGTACAGGCAGCAGCAAGGCACAGAAATCACACCAGAAACGAGTAAGCTAAATGTTTTCTGTTTCATCTGTTTTGTTACATTTTAAGATCGATTTGCTTGGGTTGTTTCTGCCATTGATTTAATAATACAGTACTAGAGCTAGTTGTTTTTCGCTTCTTTCCTGGCAGGAAATTTCGCTAAATTGCCTATAGATAGCTTGTTCGTTAGTGTTGGGAATATCTCGGCAAACACTTCAGGGTCGCTGTGCCATCTTGTGCGGTAAACAATATCCGAAACTTTTTTCCTGCGGATTTTGGATCCCCTTACACTGGATTAAAACCGCCAAACCTTTGAGAGAAACAAAGGTATATGTTAATGCAGATCTTAGTTATTTATGTCTTACAGCACTGGAGGTTGTGCCCGTTCTTTATGAGATATTTATGTATTGCTTTCCTTCATCTCCGAAGAATTTCCATCGATAAACAAGATGTACCATATATATTTCCTTGTGCGGCCCTCATAATTATCCAACCCTGTTTGTGTTTGCTTCGATTTGAAATACTGAAAAGATAGTTTTGCAAGCTGAAATCAGGATCTTTTAAGTTGTACTCAAAATGATGAATATTGTCCTACTGACCTTTGAATGTATTTTCACTGCTGTGAAAATCGTTACACAAATTCTTCTGCTGTTTCTCTGCAGGGTTTCTCAAAGGAAGCACCAAGTGGGGCTGGCATGGATTTTCTTATAGAACATAAGGGTTGATTATGGGATCCTGTATAGAATTCTTTGCATCGAACCAACAAAATTCCAGATCACGTTATTACACACTGACATCAACGAATTCTCTTTCTTTGATACGTGTTTCGAATTCAGGCAAAGGATCAGAAGGGTCAGTGTCTTTTAGGGGCTCAGCGCTGGCTCCCGAACAACTGGCTTCCCCATAATCGTTCATTAGATGAGAAAAAAGATGTTTTTAGAGAACCAATAAAGCTATCGTTGTTTAATTAACGAAACGCTTTCATGTAAATCGATTTTGTACTGTCTCCGCTGACCTCTAACTTTTGAAGAGCTCAACTTCTTTCTCAGTTCGGTCGGCCACTTCCGAATCCTCGTCGTCTACCGACTGTATGGGTCGTTTTTATACTTCCGAATAATTTGCTTCTAGTAAGGCCCAAATCGTCGGTACAGCACCTGGAAGAAAAATGACTGCTACAAACAACAGAATGTTCGAACGGCTCGACGATATCGGCTATTTTCACTTGAACAAATTTCACAAATTGTCGCTTCAAATTTGCGTCATTTGAAAATATTTGCATTGTATGCCCAGTTTGGTTTGAATCAGTACAAAACTGGACGACACAACGCTTTACCATTACGAAAAAATTGAATATATTGAAGCAAACTGTAAGTGAAAAAATCATGACGAGACCGGCAAACAACGGCTGTAGAAAAGACTCCTTCGTGCCTCACGCGATTATAAAACGAGACTTTGGAGGGTCCACCCGTGACGTCACAGGAAAGATGGCGCCACTCAAGATGGCGAATTTTTCGAATTTGGAAGAGCTTTTACAAAGTGAAAATCGACTTTTGAGAAAAAACGAATAGTACCTTTGGTGTACTTGATATATTTACTAAACATCTATGTGAAAAGAAAATGAATGTTTTTTGGGTTTACATGCCCTTTAAGATCATACAACCGACCACCATTCTCTAATTAGATTAATTGGATGGACTTCGACTCTGGTAGTTATTGAATTCAGTTGAAACACACTGATGACCTGTCATGAATTCTTTAGGGTGATTAGATTAAGTGAGCAAACGAACAACAATACTGCAAGCTGCTCATCATAAACTTGTACCTTCCAATGTGCTCGTCAAGACATTCTTTGCAATATCTGTGGCCACATCTCGTAAGAACTGGTTCCTTTAGCGGTAAAAGACATATGAGACATTGGAAATCTTCTTCAACTTCTTCTACAAAGTCCTCGTCGTGGCCTGAGGGAAGGCAGTGTTCATTTGATGTGGATTCCGCCATGTTGAAATCCACCTTTCGCATGCAGGGAGAATAAGATGAATTAAGAAAAAATCACATGGAAACTTCAAACAGTTTGCAAGAAAAAAAAGAGAACTGTTTGGAATTTTGGCGTGCTTGTGATTCTGAACATAATGGGCAAGCAAATTTCTATCAAGGGTGAGAGATCTTCGTTGTTTGTAGGTTTTTGCACATACTACAACTATGTGATTTTTTTTGGAGTGGTTAGATCTCTGAAAACGGTCATAACAGATGAGACGATAGTTACTCGAGTTTTAATTTCAGTGCCTTCAAAATGAGGGCGATCACTATCATAATGCGCGATCAATAATTTGACTACCGCTTTCTATTCTAAAACAATGAAATTTTTGAGGAAGATAATTCTGAAGACGACCACATTGATAAACATTTATTAAGATGCTTCGTGCAAAGCAATTGCAGAAGCGAAGGACATATCTTACGAACAGATTTAAATTAGTCGTGTGCAACGTAAAACCGATGCTTGTCTCCTTAGTAAGAAGACCTCCACTCTTCTCAAGTGGATCAAATGGAAAAATTCGCTACATACTTACAAGAGAAGTTTCCCTGACAAATGTAACATAATAGATTAAACGAGCCAATGAAGATCCATATTAAGTGGTGTTATTTATTCAGATCTTCTACTATGCTTGTTAAGGCATTCTTTGCACTATCTGTGGCCGTATCTCTTCTGAAATGGCTCCTTAAGCGCCAAATGACATATCAAGCACCGAAAGTTTTCATCAACTGCTTCCACTAAGGAGGACAGTACACAGTTAATGTGAATTCTGCCATATTGAGCAACCGCCCGAGCTACTAGAACTTAGTGATGAAATATACAAAATGTGATCATTGATTCTAAATGCTAATCAAACGCATAATGACGGTTTTATTCTAAATCAGCATTGTCCGCGTCGTCACGCTTATTGGTCTACATCAATCGGTTGGTTGAATTCTACGAAACATTTTTTAGTTAGTTTTTAGATTTGCGAAGTTTGTCGTTTTGATTCAACTTAAAAATCGCAAAAAAAGCAGGGAACAAATGAAAATGTACATAGAAAATAAAAATCTACACATATCGGGGAATATTTGCCCCAGCACGAAAAAAAATTCTTACTTTCCCCTATGAGAACGTCTCTCCGTTTAAATTTTGACGTAATGATCACAAGAAAGACTCTGGAGTCTCTTAAGAGCTAATGTCAACATGCATCAGACAAACAGCGGCAAGTCGCCCAAATTCGTTTTCTCTCCCACTTTCATATTTTGTAGCCCAATTTGTCCTAATAATTGTGATGTGGTTTTTTGGTAAAAATATATTTTAATTTTTGAGAAATGAGTTTTTTCGTTCGTCCGCTCAAATATGCAAATTTTCACCGTGAATATTACCCGAGTTGTGTGAGCTCATGTAACGAATTTACTTGACGGTATTTCTGTCGGCATAATCCTTTGTTTTATCATCTAAACTTAATCCCCTGTCATTATTGAAGCTGGCAAAGAAATATTTATTTTTTGGTGAATATTTTTGTCCGACATACTTTTTCTACGTCGAAAAGTAGCATCAAAACAAAGACAGTTTTAACAATGACCGATATGACAGAATCTACTGAGCTTCTAGCTTTTAAAAGACAAAAGGATGGTTATAAAGTTACTGTAAAAATTTCCTTTTGTATTTGTGTTGTTCTATCGTGAGACGAACTTAAAGTTTGTAAAGAAATCTAACATGACACTCTTACCTTGTTTATTTATGACTTTATTAGCTGTGTCGATGATCAAGTTATGCTCTACCACATTTTAGCCAGATTAAATTTGCAGTTTGTAAATCATCCCACACACATTATTATATTAGTTGCATGACAAGCGTGATACATATAAATTCAAAGATGAATCAACCTCCGAATTACCAAGAGATGGGTTTTTTTCCCCTCTTTTCATATCTATAAAAACCTTCCAAGAATTACTGTATTCAGAAAACTAAAGTGTCCAGATCCATCAATGATTCCTTTGCCGGCGGAAGTCAAAGAATGTTTACAAAAGTCAATTCGATTGACAAGTACATACTGATTTAGCTAATTGATCTGTTGTGTAAGCGTCTCATCTTATATGCTAACAAGGAGATTTGCTGTTCATTTAAATCGTTCGCTGGTGGAACTTTTGGGTGTAGTTATCGAGAAGACCGACGTTGCATATCTCAGGTCGTTCCCTTGCGTAGTTGTAAAAAAGACATTTCAAGTTACTTGCGGAGATCCAGAAACTGAAGTTAATCTTATTTTGTGGCGAGCCGGCATCTTCGAGACGCCAAAAGATATCGATGATTTTACAATTTGCCCCACTCATAGATCAAATCTCGGTGCCGGTGTTGGGTGGATTCGTGGTTCCATTAGTAGATGTAGAGTGCCTAAAGAAGTGTTCGGCCATGGTAAAGGTAGGGTTAAGTCGATTCCAAAAGCCTATTGGGGGATTGGAAGCGTGTACCACAGATAGTACGCAAGACGTCTTGAAAATTCATATAGCCTGGCTACTTACTACCTTGTGCAAAATTACGCGACCCGTCAGACTTAGGCCTCGATTGGGAATTCGTCAATAGGCTACCAAAAATCCAGATAGATGCGGAGTTTTCTATACTGATGTCTGCACACAGTGGAAAAGGGCCCTTCCGCAGTAGCTACAAGACGCTGACAAAACTTTTTTCTCTTCACCGAAAATCACATCAAAATTTTTCTTTGCTAAATTTCAAGTGTGCTGCACGTATCAGTACCCCCCGGGCAACCCTATACATAAGAGGGCGAGGATGCGCGCCGGGAAATTCCGAAAAACGACCCCTATAAAATTATAAAAGGTAGCTGAGTCTTATCCGTTTGTGAGCGGCAACAACTTATGTCTACCCCGAAAAAGTACCAATTTAAACACAAAAAATCGAAAAATCCCAAAAATAAGACCTCCTTTACCGATGTGCTCCAGAGGCTCAAGTCAAATAATTAAAATCGTCCTGGTAATGCTTATTTCAGGTATTTTATCGAGCGAAAAACACCCTAAAAGGTACCAGCTAGGTCTCTGGTAGTCCACTAAAATTTGAGACACCGTAAAAGGTACCATATCACTGATTTTGACCCCTGAAAGGTACGACAAGCATCCTCACCCATTTCCGATTGCCTCCTCCCCCCCTCCCCCCACCAACCCTGTCAGCACCTAAAAGCAAAAGATGTGATTTGCCAGCTACGAGCTGTCAGTCTCACCTCGTAAAATTCACATGAACTGGTTATTTACTTTTAGGCACTGATTTGTCAGATTTTTATGCTGACAAAATCTGTCCTGCTTCGAGGCAGGACGACTGTACTTTTTTTTGTTTTTTTCGTCTTGATATGATTTTTTGATATGATTTGTTAGGGATTTAAATAACTGTACGTCTGTATTTGTTAAACAGACTATTCAAGTGCATCCAGAACTCGATGTGTGCATTTCTAGTGCATTAAGTATTCTTTTGTAACATAGCCAAAGATCTTGCGATGTCTACTGTTCAAGCCTTTTTTTCTTTTCAAAGAGGCATCAGAATTATTTTCATGTCAAATTTGCAGTAAACTGCTTGCGTGTCATCCGTTGTTTTCAAGATGTCCGACCAGGTATGACTGAAAATGGCACCTCGCTTTGATAGGAATCCTTTTGTTGTTGCTTCTTACTTCCTGAAATTATCAGTTGAAATTCGCTCGGGATATAAAAAAAAAGCAAACAAACAAAAAAAAAACAACGCGAGTAATACATATCCATCTGAATTCTTTCATCACATAAAAAGTTGTAGGACCTGATAGCATCTTAGGGACGGACCATTAGACTTTTGATGCGGGGGGGAGGGGGGGGTGTTGGGCAATAACCCCAAAAAATCGAGCACCGGCTTAATGGAAGAAAACACATAGTGCAATTGGGAAAAAGACCCCCCCCCCCCGCATCAAAAATCTAATGGTCCGTCCCTAAGGTACCTTTTACATTATTCCAATACCGCGTTTACATGCAAGATAATTTAGCTTGTAAAAAGAAGTATTTACGTCCTTTTTTCTATGCTTCACTCGCTCCTAAAGATGATTCATACAGATATGAGTGTCGTACCGCGTTTACTTTATACAGGTACAAAAGGTCGTCCAGAATAAGTGTTTCGTTTTGGAATGAAAACCTCCATAAACTCATTCGGAAATAACTCGTTTCGAATAATTTTACTCTGGTATCATGTGGCAACCGGGATTAACTCGTTCTTGAACAAGAACTTATTCCGATATCATGTAAAAGGCCCTTAAGAGATTTTATTCCCTGAGCATCACGCTTTGCTCTCCTGCCAGAACACTATAAATTTCAATAGCGTTGAAGCAACAACCCGCTTGTAACTGCTACGCTATTACTGAAACAACGATTTGTGACCACAAAAGTAACATATTGTAATATTGTCAATTCAACATAAACAAAAATCTTAATACAGGGTAAATATTCATTCGTGTTGGTATCAATTATTGCGTGACTAGCTTATGATATAAATGGGGTAGGGGAAAACGTAAAACCTGGGCTCCTGGCAAAAAGTAATAGCCAAGCGTAATATAATAATCGAAACAGCTTATTGGTCTTATAAAATCATAAATAAACAAGGTCAAAGTGTTAGATTTTTCTACAAATTGTGGTGATTTACGTCAACAAAGGGTGGCGACAAGTAGGCACACCATGTATATTTCATAGCCGCTAGCAAGTAAATTTTGCCGGACTTTGAGTTCGTCTCACGATAGAACAACACAAATACACAGGGAAATTTTTACAGCAACTTTATAACCATCCTTTTGTCTTTTAAAGCTAGAAGCTTTGTAGATTCTGTCATATCGGTCATTGTTAAAACTGTCTTTGTTTTGGTGCTACTTTTCGACATAGAAAAAGTATGTCGGAGAAAAATATTCACCAAAAGATAAATATTTCTTTGCCAGCTTCAATAATGACAGGGGATTAAGTTTAGATGGTAAAACAAAGGATTATGATGACAGAAATACCGGAGGTCGAGTAAATTCGTTACATGAGGTCACACAACTCGGGTAAGACATCGAATTCCAATATGGCCGACAACACTCGGACGCGACTGGGCCTGATCATGAAGTCGAGGTTAGTAAGGAAACTTTTTCTTTCATTTTGACTTCGCACATACGGCTGCTTGTCAACTTACAGAAGACGATATCCCGGGGTCTTCCCTTTGTGGAAGATCTCCCGCAACTTTGAAGAATGGAGAATTAAAGTTCTAGCTAAAATGTAGAGGTGATTCACTGAAAGGACTTAAAACAAAAGCTGCTTTAGTTAAGAGGTAAGGCCAACTACAACACTCGATCGTCATTATTACTCGCGCTCTTGTTGGGTTTTCTCTCAAATACCTCGTGTTTTATAAAGGGTCGAAGAATACATCGATTCTGGACGTGAAAATCAACTGGTAGACCCTGATCCCGACCAGATTTATTTAAAACGGAAACAACGTCGCGACAAAACTCAGATGTAAAGTTAGAAAACCAGCCTTCCTTAAAATATCCTAACTCCTTGTCAATGGTGTTTAATTCGCTATATAGGTTCCGTAAATATAATTCTTCTTGGTGCCTTTCCGGATGTCACCGATGCTTTTTCCGATGCCTCCATTGATTATTACAACAGTAAAAGATATATGTGCCATCAACACTTTTGAAAAATTGCTTAACAATTTATTTAGCGAAGTATACTGTTACTATTTCGGCTTTACAAGATATTGTTTTCCGCAACTATAAATGATATGTCTCTATATGAAGTATTAAATTTGTTTCCCCGCTGACCACTCGTATTTCGGTCTTTTCTTCTTCCGTCGCCCGTGATTTAGTAACTCCGCAGTCGCGTCCGAGTGTTGTCGGCCATATTGGAATTAGGTGCATGTATAATAACGGTGAATATACAACTATATAAAATAATTACTCGAAAACTAAAATATATTTTCACAAAAAAACTACACCACAATAATTAGGACATATTGGGCTACAAAATATGAAAGTGGGAGTGGAAACAAATTTTGGGTGACTTGCCGCTGTTTGTCTGATGCATGTTGACATTAGCTCTTAAGAGGATGTTCATTTCTATATGTACGAATGCTATTTTTGCTACTTTGTGTCTTACAGTAAATGCCGAGAAATCTTCAATCGATCGTCAAATTCGATACAAGAATACTTAGAACCGATAAAATTATGGAAAATTGCTCTCAAAAATGTATGTTTATATTTTCACAGGCTTCGGGAGGTGCGTGCGTGTAGCACAGAAACACTTCGCTCCTATAGAATTCAAAAGTCTGCTCATTTGGTTTATTTTACTTGATCGCTCCAATATTCAATAAGCGACTGATTTTCAGATACTTCATTAACAAGCGCAAAGCACTCACCATTCGTCGATTTCTTGAGTGAGGCGGCCGCGGTGCACGGGCTCTTGATCCTCATCTGACTTTCGCGCTCTATTTACTTTGCTACGTGTACACACGTGTGACGTATCTGGTCATATGATCAAACTCGAAGCGTTTATGGCGGATGGCTCACGAAGGTACATTTAGGGAAGTTTTCCGAGCGAAAAAAGGCATAAAGAGGCGTTCGAAGTACCCCGTGTCTGTTTCAATGTGTTACCTGAGGCCTTTAGACAGTATTCTGGAAAAGTGACTTTTAAGCTGTCAGTTACTCTTTAAATGCAAAGTCTTGACTATGGAAATCTTTGTGGAAAACACTCATTTACCTTCTGGTTATGGAGAGGATTTTACGAGTTCAATTGACGACGATTTACTGTGTTTAATTTGTCTACTTCCACTTCGAGAACCAGTTCTGACGAGATGCGGCCACAGATTTTGTCGACAATGCCTCGAGCAACATCTTGCAAGGTTTGCGCTCGTATATCGCTACTTTATTGTCACTCATCAATGTTAAGTTACGATCTACTCATCGTTTAAAAAAATTTGGTAAGATATTTTTTATATAAGCGTAAGAAAGGTAAACCGTGGGTGACTAACATCTTGCGCTGAATAAAGCTTATTGTTCTCTTGATTTCCACTTTCGATTCCAATAATATACTCGTTCGCTTTGCTCACTCGTGAAATATTTTTCACCACTCGAAGATAAATTTCGTATCTCCGCGCGGCCATATAATATCCTCCATATCTTTGCAATTGAGAAACATTTCTCGAATGTAATGTCTCTTTCACGAAAGATCGACGAAGTGCTAATAGCCATTTGTAATGCAAATCTTGACTTCACTAGCATCACAGAATCATAGCTTAAAAACCACATAGATGATAATTTCGTGTCGGTTTCGGGTTATAATACCTTCCGTCGAGATAGGGAAACAAGTTTTTATATCTTATGTAACATACACGCATTGTGTCTGTTTCGGGTTATAATACCTTCTGTCGAGATAGGGAAACAAGTTTTTATATCTTATGTAGCATACACGCATTGTGGATACATCTTATGTGTAACGGGGCGGACGCTGGCATAAATCGAATATAACTTGAACAACACCGCGTCGGAGAAATGTTTTATAGTAACGGAACCTACAAGCGTTTATCAAATCTCAATTGGTTTATTAATCGCTTGAAAGTTCGTAAAAACTGAAACACAATAAATTAAAATAGGCCGTTACCATACTAACTATTATTATGCTTGCGACTAACACGTGTCTCGTGGCCTAATGAAACATAATGCCGACAATTCGAAAGTATGTCACCAAAAAAAAAGGTATACTGAAAGTCACGCAAATCACAGCCAAAAATAGCCTTTGCTACATTATGTTGCATATATGCAGTGTGTGTACAGCTTATGTTGCATACATGAATTCGCATCGATTGGTGTATATTTGAGCATGTAATAATTTTTATAAGAAATATCCCATTTGCTCCCTATTCCCGAGCAGACCCTTGTAACGACGTAAACAAGCACCTGAGACCAATTTCACTTACACCTATCCTTTCCAAAATATTTCAAAACCAAAATTATGAGTTTTTTTTTTCAACAGGCAAGAAAGTCAACATCAAGTCTATAATTGCCCTGTTGACAGAGAGAAACTTGAGCGCAGCCAGGTACATAAAACGGGTAACATAGAGTCTGGTTCATGCAGGAGCAAATGTAGATTTATCAGTCGAACGCGAACATTGGGCTACCGAGATGATGAGATAAGTCGGTGCAGTCGATGACATCCAACATGGCGGGGAGGCTTTTAGTCTGCGCAAGAATGGCGATTTCTTAGATACCTGCGAAGTATCTTTACTATTTCCCTTATTCAATGCAGCGAAAAATTTAAGCTTCTATAGGCCTAAAAGTATTTCGGTATTGCGTGGATGCGTTCGCAATTAGATTGTTCAAGTACTTCAGTGCTCCATATGTCTTTGAAATAGGCCCAACTTTAGCTGTGCAGTGCTGGACATCAGATTTAATTGTAGTCCAGCTCGTCTTTACGTTCAACTTTGAGACGAAAATAAAAATTAATAGGCGTAAAAACGTTTATTTTCATTTCAAATAGGACGTATTTCCTGACAAAGCAACTGAAAGGAAGATCCTCTCGTTTACCATAAAATGCCGAAATGAAGGTTGCGAGTGGACTGGTGAACTGAGGGAAAAAGAGGTACAGTATCTCTCTTTTTCACAGATTTAGAAAATTTTACTCTTTTCTATAGGGGTAATGATGCCCATTGTGCTGAAGGGCAGAAACACCATTTGCTTTCCGTGGCAAAAGAAGTTTTAAAGCTTAAAATAGACTCGGGACATGAATGGCCGCGTCCTTTGCAGGTTCTAGAGGTCGTGAGTAGTGTAACATTCTACAATGATACCGAAATAAAGTGTACGACATTGAAAATGAACTTATGCAACCCCCCAAAGATAAAATCGTTCAAGGCTGCATAAGCTTTATAAAACACATTCGACTTTAAGAAGTTTGAAATGCTCTTTAGTGATTGACACTTATAGCAGTTTTTATTTCTTGCAGTGTGAACAGTGATTGAGTGAAATTCATACTTTTATTCTCTTGTCACTGACCAGTTTTTTTCAAGAATATTGCAACATATATTTAGCTTTTATTGTTCGTGTTAACAATAAACGGCTCAAACGTCGCCTTACCTTGATTTTTACTATTTTCCTAGAATCATCTGCTATCCTGCAGTTTCTGTGTTGTGCCTTGTGCAAACAAAGAGTGTCATGCTACCATCAAAAGGCATGAATTAGAAGATCACGTGATGAACACTTGTGAATGGAGTATGGTTGCGTGTGATTATTGTTGCGTGCTTCATCCGAAATGTTTGAAGCAGGTAATTTATAACACATTAAGATATCCTCGTATAGAACGACAAATTTGAAACCATCGAAGACCTTAACCACCAATTCATCATCAGGGCTTAAGACAGCACTAAGTGCTTTTGGGAGCTCAGGGAAATATAATTATTGGCAGTGGTAGCTACCATGGTTTGGAAAGTACAGTTGGCGAAGTTTACTTTCCTCAAGGAATCTCGTTCTTAGGCCTTTCTTGTCCTAAGGAGTGGAAGAAGGAGAGATCCTGGGGAAAGAGTTTGAGAGATTTATGCGCCATGTTGTAATGCTAATAGCACAATGAGTAACGATTAGAAGATTTTAGTGGACCAGTCCATTGAAACAACCATGGACGTATCTATCTTCTTCCTCTCAGGAGCATATGGACGATTGTACAAAGATGCCACTGGAATGCGCAAATGGTTGTGGTGAAAAAATCGTGCGAGAAAAGGTATGCGGAACGTGGTTAGTCAACGCGGTATTTCATTGAAATATTGAGCTTCTAAAGAAATCTTTTTTTTACAATAGATTGAGACCCACAATGACAGCGATTGTCCACTGGCCACGATCTCCTGTCCATATGTTGACATGGGGTGTACCACCAAGGTAATTACCAATAATCACTTTTCTTCGGTCATTCATCACGCCACTACAACGTAGGTAATTAAAATTGGACAAGAAAGCTGATCGCTTTTTAACTTACTGTAAATTGTTACATAAGCGTCCTTGTGAAGTGTTCTATTATTTAAAACCAACATTTGTCATTTAGCAGTGAGTGTGGGCTAATGTTACTCATTCGAAATTTACCATTTGAGTTATGAGCGACAGTTTAGCTAAAATTTTTGTCATATCAGTTGGGAGACCCTTGTGGTCAGCCGAGAAGATGAGAATTGTATTTTCTTGACCATAATAATCATAATAATATATAGGCGGAGAACAGCAATTCCCTGGACGAGCGTACTGGTAAGCTACCTGTTTTTTTTTGGGGAAAAAGTGCCCTGTTATGCTTCGCACTGTCCCGCTTTGCGTATAGTTGACTATCAGAGTCTTTGTCGCGTTCGTAAACCGCGACTCAGAACTGCAACGTTTAATATACCTGAAAAAAAATGTCCTTTAGAAAGACAGATTTGCGAGATTGCCTCAGACAAAGTTTTTCTGCACTTGTGTTTTAATGATAGTTATATAAAAAGCTCGGGGGTACTTTGAAGTTTTTTTTCCCCATGTGACGTTTTTTAGGGGAATGGGGAAGGGGAGGGGGGTGGTCATGGGTGCAGACAAATCCCACCTACTCCGTAGTATCTCAGCTGTTAGTCACATGTAGTTCTCCATATCCTCTATCCCTCCTTTTAGATGCTAAGAAAGGAAGTCCAAATGCATCTTCAGACCGCTATGAGAATCCACTTTGAAAATGCCTGCAGAGTTTTCAAAGAAGCGAATTCCACACTTAAAGAGAAAGTAAACGAACTTGAATTGAAGCAGGCGGAAATTGATCTGGAGAAATTAACTCTGCGAAAGCAAGTACAGGAATTAAAATCCGCCAATGCCGTCCTCGAAGCTAAAGTAATCGCCCAGGAGAAAAATGTGTCAGAATTAATGAACGGAAAATTTGTGTGGAAGATAATTGGTTTCAGCATCATATTAAAAAATGCCAAGAGTGGGTCTGGTAAAGAGATATACAGTTCTCCATTCGTAACTGGAAAACAGGGTTACAAATTTTCGATTTGTTTACGACCTGATGGAGATCACTCATTAAGGCACACGTACGTTTCTGTATTCCTGCGTGTTATGAAAGGTAATTTCGACGCCATACTGCCGTGGCCTTTTCGCTGCAACGTCACATTTACCCTCCTTAATCAAAAAGACGGGATAAATGTGACCGAGAGCTTCAGCGATCACCTTATTCAAAGACCGAATTCAGATGGTTACATCAGTACCATCGGCAGTACGAGATTTATATCCCACAAGAACCTGATGACATCAAGCTACCTTGTTGAGGACACCATGTTTCTTCAAGTGGAGGTTTGTCCACGCATCTGAACACAATTCTGAGACACGCAGATGTTGGACTAGAATACTACGAAATGACAGAAAATGAAACTATAAACCTTTAATGTTTGGATTGCTTAAGGTGACCATAAATTGCATACATAGATCCGTTTAAGTTTAAGAGAAAACTGTATCTTAATATGCATGCTGGTCGCAGTCAGTAGTACACTATTTCAGTTTGCTCCAGATTGCATTGATTGTCGCACCGCAATAAGATTGAAAATAACTCTCAGTGTGAGAACTTTGGGAGAGCAGGGAAATCAAATTTGGTGTTAGCTCCTTAGGAGTTGGTCCCATGTTACGAAAAGCATCCGTGATTATGCGTACAACACGATAATGCAAAAGAACAATTGTTGGATAATAGACGGATGATACCTTAAAAACAATCTTAAGGGATTATTTTCCCCATCTTTACTGCGATGATTACCCAACTTTACGTTTATAGTGCACTTTCCTATTAATTTTTAGTTGTTTGTGTTGTGCTGCGTCAGTTTCCTAAGGAACCAATAAACTTGGTTTACATTTTGCACATCAATCTGTTTTGATACTTTTTGAAATTACAACCATGCCAGGAATCTATGGATAACCACTGGTATTTTTCCCTTTCTACCAGTGGTGTAAATTAAGGGTGTTAGGTGAAAAGCTGACCCTAAGCTTACAGCAAAGTTGACCAAGAACATGATCCCGAGATGATATGGCTGACAGAAAGAATTCTAAGCCCATTTACAATGGCTACTTAGTCGGTTATTCGAAGTACTTCGAAGCACCACAACCGTAACCTAACCATAAAATTGGGTAAACATACCATATAACTCGCAGAGCTTTCTCTGTCGCTAAAACGTCCGTATGATAACAGACCAGTAAGCTTGGGTTTGATCCTCACCGAACACTTAGTTTAATAATACCATTGATCAGAACTTCAGCTATAGAATTAAACCTGCCGTTCACCTTCATTCCAGGGGGTCCCTTGTTTCTATCTGGTCCGGCTGGTTCAGCGGGTCCCTTAGAACCATTAAAAGACAAAGTAAGTTCGAGTTAAGAAAAGATGACAAGGAATTTTGGAGCCGTGACTGATAGATTTGATACAGCTATTAAAAGACGTTGCACTAGTATGATATGTCTTATTCTACTGTTAATTGCAGAACAAAAGTACTTTAATTTATGTTAATTTTACTTAAATACGGTTAATCAGCAGAGATTATGTCCAGCAGATCAAGAAATCTAAAAACAAATTCAATTAAAAATTGCGCTTTAAAATAACTTGTGGAGTTTTCGGTGTAAATTTTCCTTATTACAATTTAATGACAAGAAAGAGTAAGAAACATAAAGAATGTGATAAGGGTGGTCAGCAAAAGAGTCGTAAACATCATACGAGACCGACCACCTTGATTGCCCAATTAGTAATTTATTTAGAGAGAGGATTTAGAAACACTTAAATACGCTCTTTGGTGTGTAACGAGGATAATTGAGTAATCAACGCGAACATTACCAGGAGAAGAGCGGACTAGAATTTTTTACTTTTTGTTAATAAAAAGTGCAAACATTCAACTCTTCTGTTTCCTGTGTCGACACCTGGTCTTCTAATTCTTCACCTTCGACCACGAGTTCGAATCACGCCTTAAACTTAAGAAAAACAAAGAAATGAGAAAAGAGCTATATGTACATAAAAAATGTAAATTATAATTATTATTAAAATATCTACAGAAATATACGAGAGATAATCGAGTTACCAATTAGTTTTGGTGGTAAGAAAATGCTCAAAAGATACTAACACATGTTTTATGGTATCTGTGTGATATATACTAAAACTGTTATTGACCTCAGTGTCCGTGAAGGAGGTGGATATTTACTTCCCCTTTAGTAATATAATAATTGTTAATGATGATTAGTATCACTGTTATCATAATATCTCGAACAACAAGTGTCCAAAAATCAGAAATCGAACACGAGTGTACAAAATCAAAAATCGGGCACTAGTGTCCAAAATCGAAAATCTGACACTAGTTTCCAAATTTAAAAATTGGACAAGAGTGTCCTACATCAGAAATCCGGGACACTAGTGCCCAAAATCAAAAGTAGAACAATAGTGTTTAAAGCCAAAAATCGGACACTAGCGTCCAAAATAAAAATAATCGGTGGCTGGTGTCCAAAATCGAAAATCTGACACTAGTGTCCAAATCAGAAATCAGACGTTAGCGTCAAAAGACAAAAATCGGACAACAGTGTTTAAAATAAAAAATCAGACTTTACTGTTCAGAATCAAAAATAAGGTACTTGTGAAATGAAATGTCAATACACACTGAACTGAACCCTTTTCAATTGACGAAGATTTTCAGGGTTTAACTTATCAACTTTCATCAGCAGATGCAGTCAGATATTATGCAGACAGTGTCTTGAGAAATTTTTCAAAGGTTTGTGTATGTTCAGAATTATTTATTACAACACAATTTGCAACAGGTAGGTCCTCTGTTGTGATTTTATCTTTAAGTCTCCTTTCTTCTCTTAAAGGTCTCCGGCCAAAAAAAATCTCGTAAATAGACGCTTCAAACGGCCCATGAAGGCGAAAAAATACCTCAAATGAATAGATTGATATTTCACGTAACTTTATTGAGATATTCAAACCGAGAAATAATTTAGATATTTAATTTTCAGAGCTTTATGCATAACCCTCATAGAGAATTTTCTTGATTGCGGTTAAGCTTCAAATCGATCATGCGAACAATTTGATAACAGGGCGTAGAAATGTCTGTTCTTAATTATGTACTTTAGCGTCATCATTCTAGAAAACAGTCACTTGCAATTTATCATCGTATTGTGCTCCTACAGGCAAGTTTGTCGCTCTCACCATTCAAACAGATAATAAAAATCGCACTGAATCCTTGTAACGATTCAACGCGATTTTTGACAAATCATCAAGGTTGCATGTGATAATATTTCCTATTGAGTCTATGAATTCTCTCTACTGCTCTGTTACTGAGGTCTCATTCGTCACGCAACGGATGACTCAAAGAAAACTAGATTGAGACACCATTCACCTTCGGGCTTTGATGAGGACTTTGTCAATGAGGTTAAAGAAGATTTTCACTGTTTAATTTCCCATCTTCCCTGTAAGGATCCTGTTTAAACAAGATGCGGGCACAGATTCTGCAAAGAATGCCTCGAGGCGGAACATTTTCGATGTTGCGGTTTACTCTAGTTACGCAATACAAACAACCGAAGAAATGTTCCTTCATTTTAGCACTCTCTGGCCAAGCGAGTTTATCACACTTTAAAGGGCATTTCTTCTTCTTTCGAGAATGGTCGATGGAAAAGATATAGGAAATTCAGGAAGCAGAAATTGTGGCGTTGATTAGTTGTTACTGAATTAAGCTGCGGGTCAAGTCAAGCGTATCATGAGGATACTGTTCTTAAATCCTCCGTTATCAATGTTCTTAGTTAGATCAAACTTGGACCATTTAAGAGAACGTTAAAGTGTTTATTTGTCAAGTGCAATGCATATATTAGATCTACTAACTTCTTTCCATTAAAATAATCGGCATCAAATCAATCAAAAGTTGTATTTACATATAGGTCTATGATTTGGTTAGACTGAGTCTTTCCTATTCACAGATGTTAGTTGAACTCATGTCTACGATTTGTGCCGTAACCGTTGAAGGCAGTTGACATTTTTGAGTTATTGATCGCTGATCAAATCACACCTCTTACAATGAATTCCGAGATTAAGGGAAAATAAAATTCTCAGTACTGATTAATCCCCCATGATCATAATATGTTATGTCTTTGACAGGCGGGAAATTCAGTGAGATAAAAAATAACTGTGTGTTGTTTCCTCTTAAATTTGTGTGAAACTTACTCTCATGTAATCAGCTAGTTCTGTAATTACAACAAAAAACTGGAAACATAAAAAGCATCCAACAAATTACTCCTAAAGCAGATATTTTCTCTGACGTAAATAAGCCTTGAAGTGGCCTGGCTTCTTCAAAGGGTGAACATTCGGGCCATTTAACGGTAAACCTCTAGGAGATATTCATGTTGCAACGGTACAGAGTTGAAATCTGGCAGAGAAGAACAATGCTGTAAGGAAAGTTAACGATTTATTTTTTAAGGTTCGACGAGAAGAAGTGGACTCCCATCTTCAGGATTTTATGAAAATGTATCTTGATTTGGCTTGCATGAAGTTAAGTGATGCAGACATGTCACCTCTTGTTACTCGGGCTTCCGTTGGAAAGCCCGAGTCTTAAAATGCAGGCCGTTCTTAAGCGCCAAAAGGGGGTCATGGTCCCAGGCGTTCCTTGCGTAAACCGCGGAAACTGGGGATGAGAGTACAGCAACTTGTGTTATCATGTGCTCGCTTTTCGTAAACAACACAAAGTTACAGAATACTGTGTTTTATGTAGTCCGCTTTGCAAAGATTCCTGTCTTTTGCGCTCATCTCACATATAAATGCACACGCTGTACGTGGTAGGCCCACACTAAATGATGTCGAGCGTTTTCAGAACGGGTCGGTCCACGAACTCTCTAACTTGAAAGTTAGCCAAATGTGCAAAGTTCATACTAGTTCTTACGAGATAACAAATGAGCCATATGTGAGTTCAAACTTCGAAAATACCGGCAAAACTGTGACAACCGATTTAACAACAAACTATGATGCTGAGACGAACACCTCGCTGAAAAAAATCAAGACTGTTCGTGAACACAACTTCGAAGGTGGCGCTGAGAGCAGCGAATTGGATAAGGATACTGTCAGAAGCAACTTGAATAATAAGGTTAAATATCTAAGCTTAGCTCTTCCGTTAAATATCTTGTTTCTGTTATTAGTTTTTATTGGGTTCAATACTTGTAAAGTACGATTTGGTATTTCTTACACAATCACTACTATTATTGAATGTTGGTTTGCTCTTCGCATGGAGTTGTATTTGCTTAGCAGAAGACATGATGAATATTCTTGATGACTACTGCCAAACAGTGGTCTTTGTAACACTTTTGTAAAGAACTGAGTTCTTTATTCTACGTTACTCAATCATTTCACCTTGTAGTTACTGGAACTCAAACACCTGGATCTTAGCTTAACAATACAATGCACAGTAAGCACTGTTTAACATCTGTTACCCTGCCTGACAGTGTTACAATTTTTGGCACTAACATAAATGTACACGTTAATGAAGTAACTTACAGATAATTAAATAATTGAACTGAAAGCAGAATATCTTTAGAGACCTTGATTTTAAGGAACCACACAGCGAATACAGGCTTTTTAATGTGGATTTCAAGTTACTGTATAGGTTGTATTTATCAACAAAATACAAAAGTAAAGCAATGTTTTCTCTTTTGACATATGAAGAAAGTTATTCACCTGCCATGAAACAGACAATACACATTCGTAAATAATCTTGAAGAGGAAATTAATAATATTATTCAAAATGAACAGGGAAGTAGAGAAACATGTTTCATACAATTGTACAAGGCCATACAGATCGATGAGTGGGATAACATCATCATTATTAACGACTGAAAAAAATAAACAAGTTTCTAGCTGAAACAAATTTTGGCAGTTGTGTTAATGTGTATGTACTGATGCCTTCAAAGTTCATTATTTTGCAAATAAAGCAAGTAACCTAAAGTATCAAACTTAAACAAGGTACTTTTGGTAGAGAGGCCTGTGGTTCTGGACAGAGATTTTCTGTCAGCATTTACTCTTTGTGGATAATCTAGTAGAGGAAATCAATTTTATTATTCGAAATAAATAGGAATGTCAGACTATGGAATATGATATACAATTTATCTGCTGTTCATGTAAAATTACTGAAATTGAAAGGAAACACATCGTGAGAAAACGCAGAAGAAAAAAATATGTATGACAGCATGGAACCTGTTGCCAAAAAAAGGTTTCTAGAAGACATTAAAAGAAAATATTCAACTATGGATGCTAGAAAGAAGAAAGAATTACTTTCCCAACCCAATGAGGAATTAGTGAAAGCCAGATCGGTTGAATTGCGTACTAACCTGTTTAAGAGGAAAATAAGAGAAGGCCTTTATTTTATATGTACTGTCAGTAATCGAATACTTTATAAGAAATCAGTAATAACATGCATAGACAAGAAGTACCCTTGCCAAACATACTTCAGTTTTCAACAGTCATTTGATGGAAAACAGTATATATGTATGTAACACATGTCGTTCAAAGGTCATAAAAGGAAAATTACCATGTCAGGCTGTAGTGAATAATATGTATGTGGATGAAATACCCACAGAACTATCCTCATTAGAAAAACTAGAACAAATACGAATAACTCAACGAATAGTATTTGAGAAGATTGTGGTCATGCATAAAGGAAAACAGAGAAAAATTAAGGATGCAATATGCAAGGTACCTGTAGAATGTGATCAGACATGTAATCAACTCTCTCACCCACCAGATAGATCTTGTATAATAATACTTAAGCTTAAAAGAAAGTTACAATCTAGAGGACATGCTTATTTTCGAGCATCACGACCTGAGTTAATA